CACGTTTACTATCTTCACACAAAGCAATTCTTATATATATATACGAAAATAATCATCTTTAAATTATACATGACAAATGGACACAATTATAGTACTCTTCTTTTTTTTTTTCTTTTGCGTGTAGTTGAATGAATGATTTAAGGGGGTAAGAAAAGAAAATCAGAAGAAGAAGAAAATAAAAACAAAATAAAAAAAATTGAATTCCTTCTCACTCGTCATATATGGCTATGATTTCACTTTTTGATTCTCTAAGAAATCAGCTAAGTCTTTAGTGTATTTTAATTAAAATTAATAATAATAATAATAATAATAATAATAATAATAAAAATAATAATAATAATAATAATAATATTAATAATAATAATAATAATAATAATAATAAAAAAGACAGAAAAGAAAAAAAAAGAGAATACGTAACCAGCCACTTTTTCACTTTTATTCTCCGTGTGAGTATTTTTTGAAAGATAATTATTATATCGATACGCCATCTTCAAACTGTACCTATTTTGTATATGATATCTAAACCTAGAAAAAGAAAAAAAAAAATAAAAAGAAGACAAAAGAAAAGAACGGACTATCTAAATCCCCTTCGTTCATTGTTTATAAAAATAAAATTAAATAATCTTATAGAGATATAATATCTATAATATAAAATAATGTACATGATCATCTCTCTTGTAATGGCTTAAAAATCGTTGTTGTTGTTGTTTTGTTTTTTTTTTTTTCAAAATTATTATTACTACTTCTTTCTTCTTTTTCTTTTTAAACGTCACTTTGAAGGCTACGTATCAAAAGATTCGCGAGATTAGAAATATATTTCGATATTATCTTTCTAAATAATACGTATTAAACTTTACCTATCTTTATCTACATCTAACAAAACCCTTTTTTTTTTTCCTATCCCGTTCGTATATTTGTTAAAAGAGAGTGACCTTTCCACATATATATAACTTTCGTTAAACAACCCTTAAACAACTACAAATATACGCTAGAACCATCAGTCCTGAAACATTTTTTTTTATACGTTTGGTCCCTGGGTACTTTTCCTACGACTACCAATTGCCTAAAAAAAAAAAAAAAAGAAAAAAAGAAAAACCAAAAAAAAAAAAAAAAGAAAAGAAAAAAAGAAAAACCAAAAAAAAAAAAAAAGAAAAGAAAAAAAGAAAAAAAATCCTACGCAGATATACAAGGTGTGTCCGAGAATAACTGGGAAATATTTGTGATTGTGTCATCGGCACACCTAAATAATTAAAGAAACAAAAAAAGTTCATATAAATATATGTCCTATATGTATACGTGTATATATATATATATATATATATATATATATATATATATATATATATACACACACTCTGTATATATTATATAAGTTTCTATCATTGACTATTAAAAACATCATAAAAAATGTTACCTTAGAAAAATTCTGATTAATTAGATAAAAGTAGTCTCTATCCTGACGAGGTTTATAAAACGACTCTTGTATAACATTTTTTTTGTTCTTCTTTTTTTTTTTTTTTTTTTTTGAACTTTATTAAGTAACAGAATTATCGTATTTATTATCATTCTTTTTTTTTTTTTTTTTTTTTTTTTACCTACGTCCCATTAATCAAAAATAAATAAATAAAAAAGAATCTATTCAAATCTTTATTCTATCGTGTAATCCATCTATTTATAATTTGCTCTCATTTGTCATAAGTTAAATCGTATCAAAGAGAACTTTTATTTTTATTGGGCTATAAAAAATAAAAAAAAAAAAAAAAAAAAAAAAAAAAAAAATGAAACGCGATCATTTTCAATGACTGCACTTTGTACCGAATGAATGGATTGGTGGGTAACAGGTACGATTTGATTGGACGATTGGGACAACATTAGGTAAAAAAAGATTGGAGTGTGTGAGTTTCGTAGGAAAGAAAAGAAAAGGACGATCGAGTTAGTCGTTATTTTTGATTCTGCGTGTTAAAAATTTAACCCTAGGGATTCTTTCGAGATTCTAGTGATGTACTTTGTAGTTTTTCTTTTTTCTTTTTTTTTTTTCTTTTTTTTCTATTTTAAAAAATTTTTCTTTTTATTTACATCGCTATTATTAATTTATGTTAAAGACGAGAACTCGAAGATTCGAGAAAAATTAGAAAAGGAAAAGAAAAGGGGGGAATAAAACGAACTGAATAAATGTAGAGAAAAATATAAAAAGAAAAAAAAAAAAAAAGAAAGAAAGAATATATGCACAAATGCACGATTTTTCTCAAAATTTGCTAATGAGAACCATCACCGTTTTATATATGTATATATATATATATATATATATATATATATATATATACACATATATATATTAAGAAAAATAAAAATAAAAAAGAAAATAAAAGAAAAGATAAAGAGAAAAGAGGAGAGACAAGGTCGTTAAGCTCTTTGTCGTTAAGATTTGGATAAACGTTTCCAAAGTTAATGTTATAAAAAAAAACAAACAAAAATTATTAACTGTCTAATATCGAGGGCA